GTGTGCTAAGAGTACCTAAAATCTCAGCAGCTTTACAGTGTCCATGCAATATTATTAACTTTCTTTTGTTATGCTCTACAGTAGATCTCTAAGCTCTCTATTTTAACCATGAGAGCATAGTACCTCTGGAGAGCAAACTTCAAAAAACCCTAGTGGAGCACACGGAAGGTGGTTTGAATAAATACTCAGATATATGATGGAATTATCAATCATCCCCCAATCAGTGGTTCCAGGCCTTCTTTGTGGGGAGCAACTCGGACTAGACTAAGTTACTGGAATTAAGACTTATTCTATGCATCTGCTCTCCCACAATATGGCACTGAGAGAAAAAGACCAAACAACCTCTACGCAGCTGCCTCATCAGTTTGACAAGCTGCAGGAGCTGATCCTGATTGGAGGAGAGCAGTGTGCTCGGCGTGTGGGTAGCAGAGTTGGGATTGGTGGAAGAGGACTATAAAGGAGGAGAGAGACAACATGCATCAGGGAACATCTGAAGGAACACCTGAACAGCCCCCGAGAGAGCCAGCCGGCGCTGTGCTGCTCCTCCGCGGAAATGGGGAAAGTGGCAAAGGGAGCTGCCCCTCCACGGAGGTGGAGGGGTTGGCAGCCAACCCGGGAAGGACCAGCAGCAAACCCAGGAAGGGCCGAGCAGACAAAAGAACAGCACAGGGTCCTGTGTCATTCCTCCGCGAAGAGGGGGAGCGACACTTCTTAATCAAATTCCATCTGGATTATTTTTTAAGAATTCAATTTTCTTCTAAATTTATATGAAATAATACATTTCTATGATTAACTGAAGAAATCTTAAGAGAATGGAAGAATGGGCGTACTTACCTTGCACTTCATCAAGGCATAGCACAGAGTTGAGTGAGGTTAAAGAACAATTGACACCGGGATGGTACTGTCTTAAGAACAGACACGTGAGGGCCAGCGCTGTGGTGTAGTGGGTAAAGCCACCACCTGTAGTGCCAGCATCCCATATGAGTGCTGGTTCGACTCCTAGCTGCTCCACTACCGATCCAGCTCTCTGCTGTGACCTGGGAAAACAGTAGAAGATGGCCCAAGTCCTTGGGTCCCTGCACCCACATGGGAGACCCAGAAGAAGCTCATGGCTCTTGGCTTCAGATAGGTGCAGCTCCGGCTGTTGCGGCCAATTGGGGCGTGAACCATCAGATGAAAGACCTCTCTCTCTCTCTGCCTCTCCTTCTTTCTCTGTGTAACTCTTTCAAATAAATAAATCTTTCTTAAAAAAGACACATGGACCAATCAGATTCGATGGAGTTCAGAGACATACCCCCAAATGTGTGACAACTGAGTGTGAGACCAATGTGGCACCTTCGCTGCACACCAGTAGGGAAAAGCATTGCTTGGGTGATGGCACTGGAAAAACTGGCTTGCTAGATGGCAAAAGAGTACCTTTCTTCCTAGCACTACATACAAAAGTAGAGTCTGCATGGGTTAAAGCCCTAGATTTGAAAGGTACAACTGTAAATTTAATAAAGGAAAAGATAAAAGATTATCTTTGTGATCTAAACCTAGGGAAAGACTTTTTAAACAAAATTTCAAAAGGTCAGACCATAAGGGAAAAAAATTGATGACTTTAATGCTCAAAATTGAATATTTCTGCTGTCTCATGAAGTCCACTATGCACAAAGTTAATAGACAAATGTCAGAGGGGGAAAGATTTAGCAAAGTCTCCAACTGTTATCTAGAACACACAAGGACATCCTGCAGATCACCTGGAAAAAGAAAAATGCAATGGGAAAATGGGTAATGGATAGCAGCAGGCTATTCACAGAGGAGGGAATCCTGAAAACCAGCAAGCATAGGAACCGAAACTTAACACAATAAGGAGATATCACTTTGCACCTATTGGTTTAGCAAAGTGATAGGAAGCAGGATCCTGCCGGATGCGGGTGGGGCTTAGGATATAGGTATTTCTCATGGGAGTGTACATGGACAAGGTCAAATGAAGTACTTGCTGCTCTACCACTGAGATCTGAAATGGTCTAAGTAGCGTCCCTCACCCTCCCATCCCTGTGCTAAAGCCCTAATGCCTAGGATCTCAGAAGGTGATGCATTCGGAGACAGGGCACTCAGAGGTGATTATGTTAAGATGAGGTCACTAGGCTGGGCCTGAGTCCAGCCAGACTGGTCCTTAGAAGAAGAGGAAATCTGCACAGAGCGGGATACCAGGGGTGCCCGTGTACAGAGGCACAGCCACGTGAGGACACGAGCCAACCTCAGGAGAAACCAACCCTGCCAACACCTTGATCTCGGACTTCCAGCTGGACTTTGACTGGACTTCAGACCAGTGAAAGAAGGAACCTCAGTTGCTCACGCCCCCCTCGCCTGTGATTTTCTCTTGTGGCAGTGCCGGAATCCAGAGAAATTCTCAGAGCCTGCCCCGCGCACAAGGTGTCCTGTGTGAGGCCGGTCACTGCAGTGTCACTGGAGGTTGCCCAGGTGTCCTCAGCCTGGTGGAGGAGGAGGCAGGTCACAGGCAGTTACAAATGCACACTTCTTTGAGGGATGAGGCAGCATCGGCAGTAAGGGTTGAGATGCCCATGACCGCAGCGATGCCTCATAAAAATAGTGCTTAGGAGACGCAGGTTAAAAAACAAAGAAAGACCTCTAACACGGTGCTACTGGTGTCAGCACCACGCTGAACGCAACAATACACAACACGTGAGGACTCACAAATAAGATACACTAAACCTGGGAAGACTGACACAAGAGGAAGCACATCAACCAAAGGCCTTGCATCGGCTAATGACCTGAGGTGTATGATTAACTCAACACTCTGAATATGAGGTTCAAAAAAGCAGGTGTAGCTTGAACCTAAATCATACCCACTCCAGGGTTCAAACCTGTTTGCAGGGCAAGTAAAGAGGGACTAAAAGGAGTCATAAGGACCAGGAGCGATTTGGGAAGGAATAATTCATAGGGACATAGGGACTGCTAAGCATTCCAGTTGCACTTTAGGGTGCTGAGGCACTGTGAGTGTGTGAGGGGCTGGGTAACTATGCTGAGTGTGGACTGTGCTCCAGCTCCGGTCCTTGGAGACACATGGCTCAGCCTGCAGAGGGGTTTGTGGTGAGGAGAGATGAACAACCGGTGTGGTGATGCCAGGTGGCCCTGCTCTGTGCTGAGTGCAGCAGGTGCACAGGCTGAATGGGAAGGCGGCAGCACTGTAGAGACTCCAGGAAGCCACAACAGGAGTACTTGCTTAACACACGCAGGGTGCAGGGGGGCAGCAAAGACTGGGATGGGGGTAAAAGGGGGGCCAGGAGTTGCTGCAGGTCCTGATGAGCTACAGGGAAAGACCCAGCAATGTATGCTATAGTGACTGTCATCAGGCCTGAAATTTTACGTCTGAATTGGATGTAGCCAGGCACATCCAGTCTATAGGTTTGGGTAGGCAGAATGATGGCCCACCGAAGATGCCCATGCCCATATCCCAGAAGCTGGGACCATGCACGCTGCATAGCGAGGAAGACTCAGGTCACTAGGCGTCTGGTCTTCAGACAGGGAGGTGGTTCTGAGTCCGCGGGTGGCCCCAGTGCGATCACATAGGTCCTTCTGGGGGAATGATGAGGTGGAAGAGAACCCGAGAGATGGCAGTGTTGTTGGCTTTGAAGATGGAGAAGTGATCTTGACCCAAGGAATGCAGGTGGCTTCTGGAAGCTGGAGAAGACAAGGGAACACATTGTCCCCCAGACCCTCCAGAAGGAACACAGCCCCTTCTGCTTTGACCCAGGGAGACCCATTTTTAACTTCTGATCTCCAGAACTTGAAGGTAATAAGTAATTAGTGCTGTTAAAACTCCAAATTGGCGACAGCAGCAGGGAACAAAAGCAGGTAAACTTGTCAGGGGAAGACTCATGGAAGTCAGCTGAGTTTTCAAGTCACAGGGAGACAGGGGCTTGCAGAAATGGGAATGAATGGGACCCAGCAGGGACACGGAGGACCCAAGGGAGAGCAGGAGGAGAAACTGGGGCTGAACCGTACATGATTCACTAAGAATGCATTTCTCTGATCCCTTCCCCAATGAAAACAGGCTCTCAGATGCTGCAGGCCCTCAGCTGGGAGCACAGGCAAAGACGGGTGAGTGGGGATCCCAGGGTCCCTATCCTCATGGAGCTTGCAGCCTGCTGTGGCTCGACCTTGGACCCAGCTACTCACTATTTCTTTCCTTCTTTCCTTTTTTTTTTAAAAAAAAGATTTGCTTATTTATTTGAGTTATAGAGAGAGACAGAGAGAGAGAGAGTGGTCTTCCATCTGCTGGTTCACTCCCCAAATAGCCGCAACAGCCGTGGCTGAGCCAGGCCGAAGCCAAGAGCCAGGAGCTTCTTCCAGGTCTCCCACATGGGTGCAGGGGCCCAAGGACTTGGGACATCTGCTGCTGCTTTCCCAGGTATATCAGCAGGGAGCTGGATCAGAAGTAGAGCAGCCGGGACTCGAACCGGCATCCATATGGGATGCTGGCACAGCAGGCAGTGGCTTAATCTGCTACGCCACCATGTCAGCCCCCAACCAGGTGTTCTCTCTAAGGTGAGATTTTGCCTCTCAAAGAAATACAAGTTCAGCTTTCACTGCTGCTGGCTTTGACATTGTTCTAGAGTGAGGAATCATGGCCCCAAGGCTGAGCCTTCCCTGGCCCAGACTTAGTAACATACGACATGGCGCAGAGGACAAAGTGCCCTAGCTTTGGGTACCCACCTCGGTTCCCACTGAACCCCTCCTTTGCATTCCATGAGACCAGACACTTCCCTTCCTGGGCTGTAAAATGGAGGCGGCAGCTCTCTGCTTTCTCAGTGGTTGGCATGATCATTGAAAACAAATACACAACGTCTGACACAGAGCTGGCTTTCTATTGGAACCTTTAAAAGCATTGGAGTTACACATTGTACTGTGAATAAAAGTCCTGTAAAAAACAAAGAGTCTTAGCTACGCAAATCAAATAGAAAAGGTATTATTTCACTTCTGTCACAGAGGATATATGATGGAAATATTGCATTTTGGATCAGAAATGTTTCTGCTGCCTCCTCGCAGCTTTTAAATGAAAGCTTTCAGGAATCCTGCATAGCACTGATGCCACAGGAAAAAAATGTCGATTTTATAGGAAAGAGCTGAAGTCATTACTTTCATGAAGCTTTATAAATGTCATTCAAACACACCATCTTATTTTCATTTGCTATTGAAGCCTTTACTTATGCAAATCATGACAAATGTTAAGGAAACCAGTGTCTCCCCCGGAATGCTAATATTGCCACGAAGAAGGGAGGAAGAATTACTTCTGAAGAAAAAATCTATACTGCAGCTCCTCAAGTCAGATAAAAATGAAGCTTCCAGAAAACCTCATTAATTAGGGCACTGCTCATTTAGACATTGTGTTAAAAAGCAAAGGGATTGGCATGTGTTTCCCTGTTCTACCGAGAGGGCAAATTCATCACATAAACACAATTTTGGGGTATTTTCTTTCTTGGATGATTGCATAAAACACATCATGGCTACCGGGCTTCTTATGGTGTTTTGTGATTACTAATTTAATTTCTTTTTCTTCACTCTTCGATTTAGATATTCATTTATTTGTTTGATCGCATTTTCATTCATGTATTCATTCAATGACCATTAGGAAACTGCTGGCTGCGGGAAGCATTGTAGGAGAGAGGAACTAGATATGAGTTTTGTTCTCATGGACTTCACAGTTGGAGAGCGACAACAAAACATCTGCCCCATGAAGGCCCCAGAGGGACTGCAATGGCAGGCGTGACACTGTCTGCTCTGTGCGCCCATCCCTGTCCCTGGAATCTAAAATGACATGAACAGTCCTGAGAGTCTCTCATGGGCAAGGCATTTCTGAGGTGAAATGAGGGCTGAGAAGAAAGATGGAATTGGAAAGAAAGGCGAATTTCAAGAGGCTGCATTGCAAAGCATTGTAGGAGCCATGGGGTATTCCCTGCTCCAAAGAGAAGGATGGGTCTCTGGGGCAGTGACCCACAGAGTGATTGGCTGGGGTAAGCCAGGGGGAGTGGCTACAGGGCATTCTCATCCCACTGCCTTCCTATGGGAGGCTCTGGCCTGTGTGTGTGTGTGTGTGTGTGTGTGAGCACATGTGGGTCCTGGGCTCCAGAACCCTGGAGCTGATCATCAGGGTGCAAATGCCCACCCCAGGAGCCGCCCTGCTTCCAGGATACTGGCCAACAGCATAGTCCTGCCTCACCCTACCTCCTCCTGCTGCCCCTCTTCCCTGGAGATAGCAGCCCTCTGCATTCTTGTCCTCAAACATGTGACAAGGGGACTAACACTTGACAATGGTCGCTTGGGCACTGGAGTTCTAAGGTCACAAGAGGGTTGGGCCATGACAACACAAAACCACATGCACACTGAACTTAGGGGAGCAGAAACTAAGGGCCAGTTGAAAAGGGTACAGATTCAGCAGAAGCAGAGGAAGAGGGGGACAGAGATAGGGAGACAGAGACATTGACAGGGAGAGATGGAGAATGTCTGAGGACTTTCCAGTTCCTGTGGGAATCAGATGAGAGAAATGTTCCGGAAGTGGTGTCAGGAGACTCCTCTTTCTCTCTGTATAATACATTCCCTCCTTTCAAAAGCTGAAATAAATAGACTTGTCTTTTTTTTTTTTTTCTCCTAAGGAGTCCCTGATTAAGACATAATCTACTCTGATTGCAAAGAGCACCATCATGGTGACACAGCAAGACAGCTCTGGGCAGTCTTGATATTTTTCTTCTCTCTTTCCTTTTAATACCAATACAATTAATCTCATGAGGGTGTGTCCCTTGGGGATATAAAGAAGCATCAGCCTTGTGTCACCAAGAAGACAGGAACCATCTGTTGTTCCTTCTCTGGAGCCCACACTGACCAGCTCAGGGTTGTTCTCTGAGTTTCCTGTATGCAACAAATGCACGTTTTAGTGTAAGTAGGTTTTAAAACCACAAGGAGATACACTATGATCAATTGTGAACTGAAATTGATCACTTGGAATAGTGAGATGGCATTGGTACATGCCACCTTGATGGGATTGAATTGGAATCCCCTAGTATGTTTCCAACTCTACCAATTGGGGCAAGTCAGCCCGAGCATGCCCCAAATTATACATCTCTTCCCTCTCTTATTCCCACTTTTATGTTTAACAGGGATCACATTTCAGTTAATTTTCAACACTTAAGAATAACTGTGTGATAATTACAGAATTAAACCAGTCATATTAAGTAGAACAGACAAAAAAAAAATACTATGAGGGATAATGTATTAAGTTGTCCATTAGCAGTCAGGGCTATGCTGATCAAGTCACCATTTCTCATAGTGTCCATTTCACTTCAGGAGGTTTCCTTTTTGGTGTTCAGTCAGTTGTCACCGATCAGGGAGAACATATGGTATTTGTCCCTTTGGGACTGGCTTACTTCACTCAGCATGATGTGTTCCAGATTCCTCCATTTTGTTGCAAATGACTGGATTTCGTTGTTTCTTACTGCAGTATAGTATTCTAAAGAATACATATCCCATAATTTCTTTATCCAGTCTACCATTGATGGGCATTTAGGTTGGGGAAGGGAGGAGAGAACCTCCACTTTGACTATGACCTTGTCTAAACAAGATAAGAGTCGGAGAACTCAAGGGGCTTCCATAGCCTTGGAAACTCATGACTGGTGCATAGGGAGATTACTGATGCCATAAACAGGAGTGTCAATTTGTGAAGTCAACAACAGGAGTCACTGTGCACTTACTCCTCATGTAGGATCTCTGTCCTTAATGTGCTGTACACTGAGGCTTAATGCTATAACGAGTACTCAAACAGTATATTTCACTTTGTGTTTCTATGGGGGTGCAAACTGTTGAAATCTTTACTTAATGTACACTAAACTGATCTTCTGTAAAAAAAAAAAAAAAAAAGAAAAGAAACTATCAATTCCCAACTTGACTCTCACTGGGATTAAACATGACAATAGGTCTGATCTGATTTCATCATCATTTAAAAAAAAATCATCTATTATTTTTCACTTTATGTTTCTGTGTGGGAACAAACTGTTGAAATCCTTACTTAAGGTATACTAAGCTGATCTTCTGTATACTAAGATAATCGAAAATGAATCTTGATGTGGTTGGAAGGGGAGAGGGAGTGGGAAAGGGGAGGGTGGTGGGTGGGAGGGACGGTATGGGGGGGGAAGCCATTGTAACCCATGAGACGTACTTTGGAAATTTATATTCATTAAATAAAAGATAAAAAAAAATAAAAAAAAATAAAAAAAAATAAATGTATTTGAGCAAAAATCTAAGCATTTAATGTGCTCCTTTCCATCAAAAAGTTCTCTTCAGAGAAAGTAAAGGTCTTCTCTAATAAATATATTTTTTAACAAATGTAAAAAAAAAAAAAAAAACAAAACAAGGAGATACACTAGAAGAAGTATTCACTATTTTCCAGGAATTCCAACATAACCGGACATCTTGTGTTTTGACTGCTAAATCTGGCGATCAGTGCTTGGCTGGGCACAGAACCTCTCTTAATCTTTTTTACACAATTATTTCTTACTCTTTTCACACCAGTTATGTATTCTTTACTGGAACCCGAGCACCTTGAAGGCGAGGATTAAGCTTTGTTTTCCCCTGAATCTGCATCCTAACACAATGCCTGGAGCAAAGGCACAGGACTACCAATTCTCAGAAAGTCTTCTGGGGGCCCCCAGCTCTCTCTTTGGCCTCGAGTTAGTGAATTTTCTGGCCTTGGAGGGAGAGCCCTGTTGTGGGGTCTGCGATCTTATGGTCATACTAACGGAGTCGCCCCCTGAGCCTGTGTAGGAAGTGTGTTTGGGAGAGAGCGGGCACAGTACCTTGCACACGTCGCTCCACTGCCCGGGCCCATTGTCATTGATGGCTCTCACTTTGAACAGGTACTCGGTGTTGGGGGTCAGGTTGTGCAGTTCGAGGTTCTGCTGCATTATGTCACGAATCTGTCCACAGAGCTCTGTGCGCACGTTGTTAGGCGGGGTCGTAACGAGTTCGTAGAATTCCATCTCGAAAGAGTCCACGTCTTCTGTGGGGCACGTCCAGTAAACCTACAGAAGAAATGAATGCATCAGGTGACACCAGCCTGCCCTTGGCGGGAACACTGCTGCTGGCTGTCCTGTGGTGAGCTGGAGCTGACTCCGCCCCCTGTATGCGGGGGACTTTGAGCTAGGTCCTGTGCAACAGCCTTGGCAGGCTGTGTGATGAGGGCTGACGTGGTTCTTGTATCAGCTTTCAAGGACCAAAGAGTGCTGTGTGGCTGGCTGATGTTCTCCTGACACCACTAACGAAGCAGCTACTATTTATTGAAGACCAGATTCTGTCAGGAGCTGCCACCCCTACCTCATTTAGTCCTGGCAATGCCCTGGAAGATAGATTCTGTGTGATTCCATTTTGTAGGCCCAGAAAGATTAGTAGACTTTACTGGAAAAACAGAATACTAGAAGATGAGACGTTTACCTATTCCAACCCTTTATATTATACACAAGGAAATAGAATCCAGAGACATTAAAATGACTTTTCTGGCCGGTGCCGCGACTCACTAGGCTAATCCTCCGCGTGTGGCGCCGGCACACCAGGTTCTAGTCCCGGTCGGGGCGCCGGTTCTGTCCCAGTTGCTCCTCTTCCAGGCCAGCTCTCTGCTGTGGCCCGGGAGTGCAGTAGAGGATGGCCCAGGTCCTTGGGCCCTGCACCCCATGGGAGACCAGGAGAAGCACCTGGCTCCTGGCTTTGGATCAGCATAGCGTGCTGGCTGCAACGCACTGGCCGTGGCGGACACTTGAGGGTGAACCAATGGAAAAGGGAGGACCTTTCTCTCTGTCTCTCTCTCTCACTGTCTAACTCTGCCTGTCAAAAAAAAAAAAAAAAAAAGACTTTTCCAATAATGGAGAATCTGTGTTCACTCTCAAAGCATAAAATACCAACTCCTGGGAAAAGACTCAAGTGTCAATCAGTAGGTGGTACCTGCCAAATCAATTTGTAAAGCAGCAGAAATGAACTTACTTTTTTTTTTTTTTTTTTGGTTATCAGAACAAACATACTCATCAATGACACACTTGGAAAATACAGAAAAAGTGTAAGGGAAAAAGTGAACATCACAAATAATCTCACAATCTAGTTAATTCATTATTATTTCCTTTTAATTTTGAAATACAAGCACAAATACATGTAATATGGATTATGTTGCTTCAAATATTGCTTTTTTCACTTACTATATTTTATATATTTTTCTATATCATTAAAAATTCAGTAAAGCACCATCTCTGAAAACTGCCCTATAAATAATTTAATCTTTATCTAGTCGAACATTTAGATTGTTTCTAATTTTATACTCAAATAAATGTGGCAACGAACACTTTCATGCACGAAAATTCATCTACATTTTTAATCATTTCCTTTGAAAGGGTTTCTAGAGTTAAAAAAACCTCTAGGATTTTTAACAAAACATATTAACAAATTATAAGATGAACTTTAAGAATATCACTGTGCACTTACTCCTCATGTAGGATCTCTGTCCTTAATGTGCTGTACATTGTGATTTAATGCTATAACTAGTACTCAAACAGTATTTTTCACTTTATGTTTCTGTGTGGGAGCAAACTGTTGAAATCTTTACTTAATATATGCTAAACTGATCTTCTGTATATAAAGAGAATTGAAACTGAATCTTGATGTGAATGGAAGGGGGGATGGAGAGGGAAAGGGGAGGGTTGCGGGTGGGAGGGAAGTTATGGAGGGGGGAGCCATTGCAATCCATAAGCTGTACTTTGGAAATTTATATTCATTAAATAAAAGTTAAAAAAAAAGAATATTTCTGATGCCAATGTTCTAAAGATTTGACAGAGATGTTAACAGAGATTTAATCTCCTGTGTGACACAGCACTATGATGCCTGTGCAAAGTCCATTCTGTGGCCCTAAAATACGGATCAGTGATGGCTTCACAAGGACTGCCATTGTCTGGTGGCAGGTTTAGGTGATCTCTCTCTCCACTGCCACCCTTGCCTGGTTGTTCTGTGGAAGCCCATTTCTGGAGCTTCCCTGGGGATGACCAATAGGTGGCGTGGGGTGACTGTTCCCCAAGCCCAGTTATGGAGCAGAGACCACCAGTACTTACACCGCAGGCTAAACTCCTGCCAATTTTGCAAGAGGTCTGAGTGGTCGTGCAGGTGACACCCACTGCCTACCCAATGGCGCATACACTGTAGGTCTTGCTCATGCAGTAGCCCTTGGAGATGAGTTCGGCTGCTGAGTGATGGGCGTCCCTCCTGTGAAGGGCGGGGACTACCATGTCTCTAGGCCATGGGAGGCCATGTTACATAATGTTACATAATGTGGTCATTCTTAGTGTCAGTCATCCGAGAGGTCTTCAAAACCTCCATGGGAAATGGACATTATGAAAAAACTGCACAGATTTCAAATTTTTTTGCAGCAAAATAAACTTCGATCTTCTCATTTCTCTGTTTGAAGTCCCCTTGTACTTTTCCGTTCTCCCAAGACATCATAATCTGCGTGTTGAAACTCACAATGGAATTTCAAAAACTTCATGGAAAATGGAATGAAAGATGTCTATTCTGTTGCAAAGTATTTTGAAATCCATGCATCGCTTTTTCATAATACATGTTTTATTTATTGATGCCTGGTCTGTGGCAGACCTTCACTTTCCTCCATTTAGATAACCCAATATTGCAGTATGGGCTGCAGATGGCAGCAGTGGCAACACCTGGACGCTTGTGAGAAACACAGCGGTATGTGTCAGGCCCCCCTGCAACCAGTGAAGCAGAGTCTGTGCTTTAACAACATCCCCGGGCACACGGGAGTGTTGAGAAGCCTTGGTTCAGATGTCAAGGAAGCCCAGAGTCTTTGAGAGTATCTCAGAGAATTGGGCAAGAGATGGGCTCAGCCACACAGGCTGGCCTGGGAGGTGCCTGTGATGAAGCTCAGGAGGAGGCAAGGTACACCTCTGTCCAGTACTGAGTCACATATTCATCTCTTGCTTCCATGGGGCTTAATAAAGTATCCTACAAGCATATTTGAAAGGCACGTGACGCTTGTCCATGTTGGGTTGAGGGTGTCATTCCCATGAGGCCCACTGGTGGCAGTTGTAGAGATCTGTGAGACACCCCACTCTCTAGCCCCACCCCCGCTCTGCAAACAAGGATAGATCTCAGGAGATAAGAACTGGCATTCCGTTGGTGATTATTCTTCCAATAAGATTATTAGATTTTCCAATATTGGAATATCCAGTATTCTTCTAATAAGAATAATCAATAACAACAATGATAGTTTCTTTAGGAAAGGCAGCCAATTTGAAATACCCAAGCTCATGGGCAAAGGGGCCTGCATTCCTGATTCCCATTTCTGTGCCCTGTAACAGACCATCCCTCAGGTAATACCACCTTCTGCCAGCCGTCGCCTTAAACTACTCTGGTTCCCAACAGGAGTTCTCTGTCAGTAGAGAAACTGCCTGGGAGTGGGGGTCAGGCTCTCAGTTTTATTTCCGGCCATGCTTTAAATATACCTTGACTCTTTGGTTTAAGCCAACCTTGGGTTATTTAAGATTTCAGAACTCAATCCTTTTGAACAGGCTGACCCCCAAAGACACGAGAGAAGCAGGTCTGAGTAGCCAGAACCCAGAGGTCAAACAACCTCCCCTGCTTACCCACCTCCACTCTGGACCCCACAACCTCCCACCTTCCCCACAGGGCCCAGAGCCTTTTTTTTTTTTTTTTTTTTTTTTTACCTTAGCGGCTCTTGGATACACCAGAGTCTGGTAGATAACAATTGGGCCTGGGGTTTTCACAGAGGTGTCGTTGAACGAGTACCAGTTGTGGAAGCTGTTGCAGTTCTGTGCAGGCTGGCTGTCGGCTGTGGCACTCCAGTAGGTGTACAGCCCGTCGGGGGGCTTGGCGGGCGCGGCAGACTGGGTCCTCCCGTAGGCCTCCAGACCCCCCTTGGCCTTCTCACCAGCGGCGCTGAAGGACAGCAAGGAGGAGCTCCGCTGGTATATCTGTTGGTTGCCGAAGCTGTGGGTGCTGAACGTGACCTTCCTGGCGATCATCATCTCCGAGTGCATGGGGTAGGGGGCGGGCAGTGAGTCTCCGGAGGAACACACCTTCTTGGGTCCCGTGGGGAAGAGCTCGTGAATGGCGCTGGAGAGCTCGGCGAAGTCCAAGGGCATGCAGTGCATGGAGTGCAGCCGCAGGTGCGGGTCGGGCCGGTAGGTGCTCTGGATGCCATCCTCGATCTGGTCCACCAGGATCTTGGCCGACTGTAAGAAGGCCACTTGGCCCGTCTCCTTCAGGGCTTCCTTGGAGTAGGCTATCAGGCCATCCATCTCGTTCACCTTCAGGGTGGTGACGTGGACGTACTTCTCGATCTCCTTCTGCCTGGACACCTCTAGATTCTCGATCTGCTCCATGATGCTCTTCTCTTTCTCCTGCAGAATGCTGCGCAGCTTCAGAAACCCGCTTCTGATCTCTTTCCGCTTTGCCTCCTTATCCGCTTTAAAACTGTTTTTCAGAATGTTGAACTCCATGAGGTCATTATCAATTTCATACCGGACTGCAAAACAACCAAGTTGCTTACTGTTAGAAGCTTCCTCTCCCCAGATGCCAAAGCCACAGCAAACCCTTACACGGCACTGGCCTCCGAGGGAGTGAGTGGACGGAGGGCAGGCACCCCCAGCTGGGCTGAACGTGGCCTCCCTCAGAACGCCCCTCCCTCTCACCTCCCCCAGGTGTCAGGAGCCGTCCTCCCTGACCTAGCCCCAGCTGGTGAAGGCAATCCCTCTGGTTCCTGCCACACTTGCCCTGTCTGCAGGCTGGACTTGAGAAGAGGCAAAGTCACCTAGGCCAGGGCCCTGTTTTTCCTGCAGGAAGGTGGGCTTTTGCAGTGGTGGAAGACAGAAGTACATTACTGATGACCCCTTCTACATGCTGCCTTGCCTCATTCACCCAGAATCCAGCCTCAGACAGCAGTGGGAAATCGGCAAAGTGTTCCCTCATGGGGGCCCTCTTGCACACCCGTGGTCCTGCATAGCAGCCTTTGTCTCTCTCGTGGTTCAGCGCTGTTCCCTCTCCTGTCTTTTCGCCTCTCCCTTTCAAGAAAGCGTCTGCAGTCACACTCCACGGGGAACCAATCCATCCTGCACCCTGTCCCATGGCACTTCAATTTTAAGTTCACCCAGTCAGTCATTCAGCAAACATTCCCCAGAGCCGTGCTGCACACCGCAGGCCTTTCCAGGCACTAGGAATACAGACATGAGTATGAAGTGTACTTATGCTCAAGGCACTCACAAACCCAACCATACGATGGCTGGAGGGTGCTGTTGCAGGGTGAGCCTGTGGCACGTCTCTGTGAGATGAACACTGTTGTTAGGGCCTAACTAGCAAGTGGGAGCATGCCAGCCATCTTTCACCTATACTACAGGAAAGCCCTCCCCCGCATAAGAGGCCAACACCACAGTGCATTGGTTCTGATCTCCATCAAAAAAAGGAGTGGCAGGTGCCTGTGTATTTTTGTACTTGGTTCTAAACATCATCCTGGGTCTCAGGAGCCTGGATTGTTGTGGGTGGTGAGCATCTGAGTCAGAGAAACCCTACAGCCAGACCATGAGGAGAGGGACCCCAGTGCCTTGGGCTATCCTCATGACCAGGGTGGCTAGAGGGGATCTAAAGGCGTTTGCTGAGAGAAAGACGTTCTTTCCTGTTTTCTGATTTCTCCATGTGAACAGCAGCAGCGCCATTGTCTGGCCTCTCCCTGTAGCCTCCACTTCCTCCCTCTCATGGCCCAGAAAGGAAGAAGCAGAGTAAGGACTGGAGAGGAGACTCCTAGGCTGTGATTCCGCAGTGCTGAGAGGCATCCTCGCCTTTCCCAAATGCGAGCCTGACTGTGGCTGATGGCAGCAGAAATCCCACTTCATGCAGTAACTTCCTTGCTATTCAAGAGGTGCCCTCTGCCAAGGATACTTGCACAAGAAATTCCTGACTCTATTAGGCATTAGTGAATTTGGGTAAGGCAAAGGCCCGGGGTGGGGTGGGGGTGTAGGATGGAGATTTCTTAAAGGAGGTGAAAGGGACTATGCGAGGAGAGGGGGAATGCAAGAGGAAGGCTCTCAGAGACATCTCTACCCACAAACCTGATGAACAGGACAGCTTTGCTGGAGCTGACCTTAGCGCAAGATCTAATCAAGGTCTCCTTCAGGCCTTCTGAAACCTGTGAGGATGTTTCAAAAAGCTCACAGAAACGTGGAATGCAAAGGTGTGTTTATTTTGGTGCCAAGAATTAAAATCATGCATAGTTTTTCATAACATGCATTTCCATGATCTTTTTGAAGACCTGTTATACAGCTAAAATTAGAAACTAGAAATTATTTAGTAAGCATTTATTATGAACAAGACCCATATATTAGATTATGGGCCAAATGTATATACAGGTCTTATGTTACATATATACCTTCCGAAGAAGACATTGTTCCCATTGATGGATGAGGGAACTCCGGCTCAGCCAGTCACACAGCAGGTAAAGGGGAGGAGGAAGAAGCCCTGTCCATGCTCCTCATTGCTCCCGCCATGGTGAGACAAGCCACGCGCGCGGGGCGGCCAGTGCCAGGTGCAGCGCCAGGCCAACCACCCACCCCAGCCCGGCGCTTGCCGGAGTTCCCGCGGCGCCACCTAGTGGCTCTCACGAAACAGACCGCCCCAACCGCCTCGCCCGGGGTGGGGGTGGGGGTGGGGGAGGTGAGGTGGGGCGGGAACCAGCAGGACCTGCTTTGAACTTGGCGATGGCGCTGAAGAGCGCGGCCGCCCTCTCCGAGCAGGCGTCGATGAGGCCGACGGTGTCATGGCCGCTGTGGAAGGCGATCTTGCAGAAGGTGCAGAGTAGCTCATTGTCGTTGCGGCAGTACTCGTTGATGCGGCTGGACGGGTGGTGGATGCAGACCTTCTCGTCCTGGTCCTCGGGGCTGGTGTCCACGAAGACGTGGTCCTGCATGGCCACGTCCGAGTGGAAGGCCTTGAGGCATTCGTTGCACAGGTTGAGGCGACAGGTGATGCAGCGCTTGTAGGCGATGCGCCGTTTGCGGCAGACCTGGCAGAGGATGGGCCCGGAGGAGCGGTCGAAGCGCCACTTGAGGTAGCCGTGCTGCTGCATGTAGCGCTTGGTGAGGCGGCCGCGCAGGTAGTTCTCGGGCAGTTGCATTTTGTTGCTGTAGGGCATGCAGTGCGAGCGGTTGCACACCGGACAGATGAGGATGAAGAAGTTCTCCGTCACCTCGGCGTGCTTCTGCAGCTGCCGCAGGCACTTCTCGCACAGGCTGTGGTTGCAGGGCAGCATGAAGGAGTGCAGGCGCAGCCGGTTGCACATGGGGCAGGTGAGATGGTCCACCAGGTGGCTGTTGGCTGGCATCGACTTCAGGTCATCCACCTGGGTGTCGCTGCTCCCGATGCGCAGGGCGGTCTTGGAGCTGAAAGGAAGAGCGGATAGGTTGAGAGCCAGCTCAGCTTCTCCACCTTGGTGGTCAGAGAGGCAGCACAGGGTTCTGCACCTGCCGCCACCAGCCCTGAGCTGGGTGACCTCGGGTAGGGCAGTCAACCTCTCTCTGCCCCCTTCCTGGTGATGCGGTGAGTGCCCACACGGCAGAGCCTCTTCAGAGGATTGACCCTGAGTGTCATAGCTGTAAGGACTGAGAGCAGCCCCCAGAACACAGCAGGTGTTCGAATACCCATGTTGTCACCTAACATGAGCCCAAGGCCTATAATAATTGATGCTCTCACTTGTTTCAGTGGGCGAATAAATCTAGTCCTGTCCAACTACAGGTGTGTTCTTGGTGGTTTTTACTTGGAAGACATCGGCAGAGAAAGGTGTGTGTGTGTGTGTGTGTGTGTCTTCCTCCTCCAGGAAGCCTGTGAGATGTGGCTCTCAGACCCCCTGGAGATGGATGCAAATGAAGGGTGGCGCCACGTCTGAGTTCACCTTTGGGATGGGTGTCTCCCCCTTTCTCATCCCCAGCTTTCCCACTTGTAAATCAAAGCATACCTACTACTTCCGGGGGAGGTTCCTGATACTCTAAATGCTTAGCTGCTGGTATGCAGTCAGCATTGAATAAACCCAGCCACTCCAACGACTTCCCGCTGCTCCTGGCCAGCTCACGTCCAAGGAGAGGACACAGCCACAGTGGAGGAAAGCGGTGGCCAAGTCCATGAGAAGCCTGTGTTTCAGGGCCAGCGCTGTGGTGTGGTGGATAAAGCTGCTGCCTGCAGCAACAGCATCCCCTATAGGCACCAGTTAAAGTCCCGGCTGCTCCACTTCTGATCCAGCTCTCTGCTGTGACCTGGGAAAGCAGTAGAAGATGGCCCAAGTGCTTGGGCCCCTGCACCCGCATGGGAGACCCAGAGGAAGCTCCTGGCTCCTGGCTTCAGATCAGCCCAACACCAGCTGTTGCAGCCATCTGGGGATTGAACCAGGGGATGGAAACTCCCCCCTTGCCCCTGCCTCTCTGTAACTCTGCCTTTCAAATAAATGAATGACTCTTAAAAAAAAAAAGTGTGTTTCTACTAGTGTGCATGTATGCATGTGTGCATGTGTGTGTGTGTGTGTGTGTATGTGTAAGGTCATCAGCTATTTTATGTCTGAGGCTGATTTCAAATATTTCATTGAAAGAAGTGTGGGTTTGAAATGAACACATGCTTATCCAATTCAAGTTCTGAGACGTTACAATAAAGCAGTTTATGAAAATCAGTGACTCGGCTGTGGGAACGGAGCTGCAAGCAGGCACGAAATCTGTGGCTCTTTCCTGTCTGTTCTCCTCTGCTCGCATTAGGAATGTTCGGATGTTGGTCCTGACCTCGAGGCTGTTTCCATCTGCTTTTGCCTTTCTGCTTTCCCTGTAGGAGCATGGCCCTGTCTCCATCCCCACTCCCTTGGGTGGGGTCCTGGGCCTCAGAGTCCAGGCTCTCAGAGGGGCCTCCTGGGCACACAGGGATGGAGTCACCCTCGGGTGCCTGGAAAGCCCACCTCTCAGGGTTTGGATGCTGGGCTGTAGCCCACCAGCCTTGATGTTCTCAGCTGGTTCCACTGTGCCATCCTAGCCTCCTGCCTGGAGTCATCAAGAGCGGTAAAGGATAACACATGGAGGCTGGATGGACTCTTGAGTTTGATTTTAAAAAAAAGGGACTCTGAGAACCAGGGCGTACTATGACAGGTGTCAGCCAAAGAAATCAGGGAGATGGAGGGAGGTGGGGGGGAAGGGAGAGAGAATGAGCACAGGGTTCAGAGACAGGTGTCAATGGCCTAGGGAGCTGTGGCAGCGGTAGGAATGGAGGTGAGGAAATGAGAATGGCTGAGCGGGACAGGCGAGAGCAGAGAGAGGTGAGTGGCTGTAACTGCTCAGCAGGAAGCGGTGATGAGCGGCAGGGGAGGCGGGGCTTCAGAATCCAGGGGAGGGGCCAGGGAGAAGACAGGCACAATGCCTCCTGAAGCTGTCAAGTGCATCCCTGCCCAGCCTGCAGAAGCCTCAGGTGTGGACAAGGTGTTCAGTAGCCAGGGATCCATGCCCAGCCGCCAGGCCCAGCAGCCTGGTCTTCCTGCTAAACTATCTGCCTCTGGTCCTTTCTCCCCCCTCTCCCCAGTTCAGGCCTGGTCCCCTTGCCCCTGGATTCTCACTGTCTCTCCTGGCAAGTCTCCTGGCTTCCCTTCCTGCTCCCACAGGCCATTCTGCACCTTGGAATCACCTGAACAGGATGGGCCTTATACAATTCTGATGCCCAGGTGGTACCCCAGGCCAATAACATTCAGAGTTTTGGGGAGGCAGTGGACCAGGCTTAGGTATTTTTAAAGATCCCTGCATGATTGCAAATGCATAGAAATTTGGGAGCCACTGATGCCGAAGCCACTTTCCCAAAGCAGCAGTTTCATCCCTCCTGGAATGGGCTCCGTGGCTCTCCGTGGCTGGTGCTTGGAGAATGGGCGTGTCCAGAGAGAGCAGTGTGGCCACTGCTTTCCACACCTTGGAACCTCTGGACTTGCCACTAGAGTCCCTGGATTCCCGCAAGCACCAGAGAGGGCCGTGCACGGAAACTCATGTTTCCTACGCCCCTACCAAGCACCTAATCTCAAGATGGATCTTACAAACATTCTTGCCCTGAGTCCACCAAACCTTTGTTGGTAGAATTGCTGATGCAGCCTTGAAGGCCTTCAGACTTGCTTCCTATTGTTCAGCCTCTTCTAGTCCACTCATCTCACAGTGCTGAGTAAGTCTGTCCTTACCAGGCTCCTCTCACAGGGACAGAAGAAGACTGACTCGGTAGAGTAGGAAGAGGTTATACAGTGCTTAGTGGGGATGACTAATGCCCCCAGTGAGCACCTGGAGGCCCAAAGCACCATGACTTCTCCATGGGAAAGTCGAGGAAGCCAACGGGAGTTCAGAGGTTCTGGGGCACTCAGGTGAATACAGGTCATCAGGCTCAAAAGTGGTCTTTGGAAATTCTTACTTTTCCAAGAAACATTGCATATATCAAGAGTTCACAGTAGCAGGGGGAAGAGTGATTTATATTTTTATGTCACCTATCAGGTTACAAAGCACATGCAAAGAGCCCTCAACAAATTCATGGAAAATGCAGATCATGAACAACTTTGCACCCAAATCAACTTATGTCTGAACTCTACTGTCCGTGAATTTCACATCAGTCCTCACAGGGCCTCTCCATTTTGCAACACAACACTTGAAATTTAAAAGAATGGTTTCTGGGTTCAAATCCTGACTCTGCATCATGCTAGCTGTGTCAACCCGGGTGGCTTCACCTCTCAAAGGCTCTGTTGCTGGGTCCAGTGGGCTCAGGGAGAGGAAGGTTCCCCAGGGTCCCCCATGCAGGGCCTGGCAAGTTGCTTAAGCACTGAGTATTGGCTCTGAGTACTTTGCACCCATGAGAGAGTTGTGGTTCAGAAGAGTGTTGTAAGCATTCACACCTTATGGATTTTCAATTTGGAAGTTAGAGTCTATACTGGTTAGTATACTAGGATATACTTAATTGCTACATGGTTAGTATATGAGGATATACTCAATTGCTACAAAATTCCTGGCTTCCTTTTCCCACAGAGAGAAATGAACCCAGGGGTTACCAGCCCACCCTGTGGGCCCCCAGCTGGCACTGAGTTCCCAGTTTTCACTTACGAGGTGCGGATGCTCTTGAGACGGCCCTTGCGGAAGGTGATGGTGGCATTGCGACAGCAGCGGCTCTCATAGTAGTAGCACTTGAGATTGCTGCTGGTCGTGCAGCAGCATTTGCAGTTGGGATCATTGGCCCAGGAGCAGCAGCACCAGTGGCAGTTGGGGTTATCGGAGCAGGTGCAGTGGCAGAACTGGCAGTTCCGCTCATCCTTGTATGGGCAGGGGAAGCAAGTGCAGTTCCTCTCCGAGGTGAAGATGAACTTGCAGCACAGACAGGAGCATAGCTGAGGACAACATCTTTGCCATGTACAACATGGCGAGCAAACGCACATAGCAGTCTCCATGGCCCCTACATGATTACCACGTCCCCACCGTGGCTCTTGGTGTCTCCTCTACCAGAATCCTGCTGCCAGTTCTCAGTGGAGGTGTCCCTCCTCCCCCAACCCAGTGAGGCCGTCAGCCTGAGAGTTGCAAGAAGTTGGCTGTTAGGAGGCTCTCACCAGTGGTGTCCCTGCCAGGAAGCTCATGGGTTAGCACGTGCATGAGGCCATTTGCTGATGTCACAATCACTGGGTCCTTGCAGTGTCTCACCACGCTGTGGAGCTGGCAGGTGAAGCCTGGAGTGGTTAGCAGGTGAGTTGATGGATACTCCCCTCATGCCTCCGTCGGACCAGCTCCAGGGGAGCTGTCCTTGGTCCCCTTCCTGGTTGTGGGGTAGATTTCAGAAGCTATTTCTTCTTGCTTGGTGTTTGCCCGTAGTTTGGGCAAGCTGATTTCAGGGAATGTCTTCCCAGACTGAGAAGCCTGGCATGACTAATTGGAAAAGTAGATGGACATAATTTTCCTCTCCTGGATTTTTCCTGCATGATAGAACTCCTTACAGTGTTTACAAATAGCAACAAGGAGGACAGCACGGAAGGAGGTGTCACCATTTGTGGAAAGAACTAAAGGAGCAGAAGACACCGCTTCCTTCAGGAGCTTCTTTTGAAAGTCATTGCTCTTACCCATCACTGCATAATGACTGGTCTGTTTCATGAGGCTTCGCAGAAACCTCCGAATGTTTTTTGCCAATTCTGCAGCTTCAAGGGGTTTGACCAAGTCTTAGGCTTTACTTCCTTTCCCCCACCCTACTATCAGTCCTCTAGGTCCTGTTAATCAAGAAGTTATAATGCTACATGAGCTTTATACTTTTGTGCTAGCAGTGTGCTCCAGATACCTGGAAACAAGACCCTAATGGGGTGAATTTCGTTTCCACTTGATGCAGCTTGCAAAGGTTAAAAGAGCAAAGTGTTCATGACCACGCCGCATGACGGTATGAAGGCTGCAGTATTACTTTTCCAAAAAGAACTGAAGGCTGAGTTTGGCTGCTCGAGCCGATTGCATAATCCATGATCTCTCCCCATGATGATCGTCTTCATAATAGGAAAGAACGTTTACTGAGTGCTAATGGTGCCAGCCACACACCGATTTTAAGTTTCTAGAAATGAGAGGGCTGGATCATAGGGTATGTGCTTTATCTTTTTTGATAGATGCCACTAAATTGCCTACTCAAATAAATGTGCCAGTTCGTACTGACACCAGTAATGGATGAGAGACATCTTTCCCACACATTTGCTCAAACTCAATTTTATCTGCCTTTCTCCCTAGGCTCCAGGCCCAGAGGTCCAAATGCCATTCTTGGGTTCATGGTATATTTTCATTACTGGTCTCTGTGAAGTCCCCTCTTTTTAGAAATTGTTATTGACATTACAATTCACTTACCATTAAATTTACCATGAACAATTGAATAGTTTTCAGTATAATCATAAAACTGTGCAGCTGTCACCAAGACCTAATTCCAAAACATTTTCATCACCCCAAAAGACACTCAAGGGCAGTCAGCCACTCCTCATTCCCTAGCGGCTCCTGTCTATCCTTGAGAAGTACCCTAAGTTCTAAGGATTTGCCTGCTTTGGACATTCCCTATAAATGGAATCGTATCATATATGGCTTTTGTGTCTGGACTCTTTAGCTTAGCACAGTGTTTTTGGGTTCATCCATGTGTAGCATGTATCAGTATTTCATTTTTTAATGACTGAATAATATTGTTATAATATATTGTTATAATATTTTGTTTATCCATTATAATTGCAGGACATTGAAGTGTTTCTACTTTTTGGCTATTAGAAATCCTATTACTCTGAGTATTTGTACGCAAGAATTTGTATAAATATGCATTTTCAGTTCTGGGGCGGAATTGCTTGTTCATATGGATACTCTGTGTTTAAGATATTTTTAGAAAATATCAAACTATTTTCACAATGGCTTCACAATTCTGCATTCACACCTGCAATATACGAGGGCAACAATTTCTCCACAGCCTTACCCAGACTTGCTATTGCCCACTCACTTCTACACTTCTGAATATAGATATCAAGTAAGTGTGAAGTGGAATCTGCTTGTAATTTAGATCTGAGTTTTCCCGATAATGGTATTGAGGTCTTTGCCTGTGCTGATTGGCCAGTATCTTCTTTGGGTAAATGTCTGCTCAAATCCTTCACCTGTTTTAAAATGAGTTATTTGTCTTTTTATTGGTGGGTTATAAGAGTTCTTTACATAATCTAGACACTGGACCCTGACCAGTGATCTGTGGCTATTTTCTCCATCATATGGTATCTTTTCCTTTTGAATAATGTCCTTTATTTGAGGCAGAATGCTTTAAATTTTGGCAAAGTGCAATCTATATATTTTTAAAAATATTTATTTATTTGAAAGGCAGAGTTACAGAGACAGAGGTGCAGAGAGGCAGAGAGACAGAGAGAGAGTGTGAAGAGAGAGGCCTTCCATCTACTGGTTCACTCACCAAATGACTACAACAGCCAGAGCTGGGCCTATCTGAAGCCAGGAGCTTGGAGCTTCTTCCAGGTCTCCCACGTGGGTGCAGTGGCCCAAGAACTTGGGCCATCTGCTACCGTTTTCCCAGGCCATAGTAGAGAGCTGGATTGAAAGTGGGGCAGCTGGGACTCAAACCGACACCCATATGGGATGCTGGCCCTGCAGGCGGTGGCTTTACCTGCTGTGCCACAGCACCAGTCCCTCTGTTTTGTAGCTTGTGTTTTGGTGTCATTTAAGAAATTACCAACTAAGCCAGTGATGGCTCAAATAGTTGGGTCCCTGCCACCCACATGGGAGACCTGAATTGGGTTCACTGCTCCTGGTGTCAGCCCTGGCTCCACCCCAGCTGCTGGGGACATTTAGGGAGTGAACCAGTGGATGGGAGCTCTGTCTCTCAAATAAATAAAGAAATAATAAAGAAAGAATTTTTGGGAGCCTGGTGCTGTGGCGTAGCGGGTAAAGCCGCTGCCTCCAGTGCCGGCATCCCATATGGGTGCCGGTTCAAGTCCCTGCTGCTCCAATTCCGATCCAGCTCTCTGCTATGGCCTGGGAAAATAGTGAAAGATGGCCCAAGCCCTTGGGCCCCTGCACCCATGTGGGAAACCCAGAAGAAGCTCCTGGCTCCTGGCTTCGATCAGTGCAGCTCCGGCCACTGTGGCCAATTGGGGAGTGAATGTATGGATGGAAGCTTGCTCTCGCTCTCTCTCTCTCTCTCTCTCTCTTTTTGCTTCTCCTTCTCTCTCTCTGTAACTCTGACTGTCAAATAAATAAAGCTTTAAAAAAATCTGGGTTTACTTTAGGGTAAAAATAAAAATGAAATCTTTTTTTTTTAAAGATTTATTTACTTATTTGAAAGTCAGAGTTACAGAGGGGGAGAGAGAGAGAGAGAGAGAGAGAGAGAGAGAGAGCAGAGACAGAGAGAGAGGTCTTCCATCCGCTGGTTCACTCCCCAGATGGTCACAACAGCCAGAGCTGCGCCGATCTGAAGCCAGGAGCCAGGAGCTTCTTCTGGGTCTCCCACATGGGTGCAGGGGCCCAAGGACTTGGGCCATCTTCTACTGCTTTTCCAGGCCACAGCAGAAAGCTGGATTAGAAGAGGAGCAGCCAAGTCTCGAACCGGTGCCCATATGGGATGCTGGCACTTCAAGCCAGGGTGTTAACCCACTACACCACAGCACCGGCCCTGAAAAAATGAAATCTATGTGTAGCTTTGTCATTGAAAAGTTCATAGAAAATGTGTGTTGGGGGGCTGGTGCTGTGGCGCAGTAGGTTAATCCTCCGTCTGTGGCGCTGGCATCCCATATGGCCTCTTGTTCGAATCCCAGCTGCTCCATTTTCCATTCAGCTCTCTGTTATGGCCTGGGAAAGCAGTAGAAGATGGACCAATTCCTTGGGCCCTTGCACCCATGTGGGAGACCTGGAAGAAGCTCCTGGCTCTGGCTTCAGATTGGCACAACTCTGGCCATTTCAGCCAACTGGGGAGTGAACTAGAGGATGGAAGCCCTTTCTCTCTGCCTCTGCCTCTCCTTCTCTCTCTGTGTAACTCAACTGTCAAATAAATAAATCTTAAAAAAAGAGCTGGGATTACTTTGAGGTGGCCTTACCTGCTATGCCACAGCACCAGTCCCTAAACCCAGCTTTTAATTTGATTTTCCAGAAACTTTTTTGACGTACTCTTATATTTAAGTTCATGTCACTTGTGAATAGAGATCTCTTTACTTTTTTCTTTCCAGTTTGGATACTTTTCTTTTTTCTTCCCTAATTATGCTGGCTCTGTCTCCCAGTACAATGTTGAATAGATGTGATGAGAGTAGACATCCTTGTTTTGTTCCTAATCTTAAGTGAAAACTTTTAGTTTTCACCATCAAGTATGATTTTAGGTGTGTGTTATTCATAGAAGTCCTTTATTAAGTTTGTAAAATTCCATTTTATTCTGTTTGTTGATTTTTTAATTATGAAGGACTGTTGAATTTTGATGCTTTTTTCAATATCATGATGTGATTTTTTGGTGTCACTGTTCTGCTAATGTGGTGTGTTACATTGCTTGATGTTCGTATGTTGAATCATTTTTGAATGAGTGAAATAAATCCCACTTAGAAAAGATGCAGTTTTCTGTTTTGTTGAATTGGGTTTGCGAGTATTTTGTTGAGAAATTTTGTACCTGTATTCAAAAGGGAAATTAGTCTCTGGTTTTGTTATGATGTCTTTCTCTGATTTTGATATTAAGGAAATACTGGCCTCAAAGAATGAGTTAGCAAGCTTTTTCTCCTCTTCTCCGTTTTGAGGAGCTTAAGAAGGCCTGGTGTTGAGTTTGTCATTAAATGTAGGGTAGCATTCACCACTGAAACCCTCTGTTCTGAGCTCTTCCTTGTCGGAAGTATTTTGGATGTTAACTGAATCTCTTTAATTAAGGTTATTTATTAAGGTTTTCTATTTTTTCTTTTCCATTTTGTAGTTTGCGTCTTTGCAAGAATTTTCCCGTTTCATCTAGGTTATCTAATATGGTTGTTCATAGTGTTCCCTTCTGATATTTTGTATTTCTGTATGATTCCTGTTAACATCTCCCTTTTCATTCTCAGTTTTAGTGATTTTTTTCATAGTAAGTCTAGATTGATGTTTGCCAGTTCTGTTTATCTTTTCAAAAAAGCCTACTTTCTTTTTT